CAGTTGCCTAACAGAGAGTCATCAGCAACTTTGTTTCTTTTAACAGTTCTATGCTTCTTGCTTGTGCTTTTATGAAAGTCACAGATAAGCTTTTAGTTAGCATATAAAGTTTTGTTAGGACTTAACCATAAACATGAATCATGATAGTTTTATTTTGATACCTCACAAAGCAAGATTTGCCAGGATTTTTGTAATGCAGCCATTTGTAAAGGAACTACCATGCACCAGTGACACCAAATTACAAAAAAAGGGGGCGGGTATACATAAAAAAATTCTATGTTGCAAATGTTAAACAATTACAATACTATGTGTATGTATGCATATTCTGTATGTATGCATATATGCACAAAATAACCACATCGTAGCCAGCACTTTTTCATGGGTTTACAATAATGGAATGGAATAATATCAGCCCAGGAAGGCAAGTCTACGGAGGCATCCCACAAGGAAGAGAGTCATGTGAGGCCACCTAGCCTGACTGCCAGGTGCTAGATGTCAAAGGTTCAAGGAAGTGTTTTAAGAAACAGCAGAAAAAGACATTCCATAAGTGTTATAGGTGTGATAATAAACAGGAGAATACATCATTAATAACGTGTCAAGAATCAAGAAAGAGCCAACGAACCTGGTAGGATGCCTCCGTAGACACACCTACCTGGGCTGATATTTATTCCTTTCCATTATTGCAAACTCTTGAAAATGTATTGGTTGCAACATGAAAGGCCTAGATTTATCATTCAACTTCCCCCTGTGGTGGTTTTGTGTGTGTGTATATATATACATATGTATACTTACAATATACAGTATATAATCATAAGAGTTATTAAATTTGTAATAAATTAATTAATTTGTGGAAGAAGTTTGTGAAATTCGACTTGAAAGAGTACAGTACAGTAATTAATGACTAATTGTTTACAGTAATTTTTTGGCGGCACTGGTGAAACGAGGCAAAAGAAGGGTTGGGATGGCGCTGGCCGCAGGGTGTAGGCAGTCTGCACAAAACCCCTGGCTTATGTAATCCGTCATCAATAAAAAACCTACACCCAATAAATTTTCTTTATGAGCCTTATTAGATATGCTGATTTATGTCATATATATATACATGCAGTTTTATTGGCTAATTGAAATATAGTTCAAGTTCATCAGGCTTCCAGTGAGCAGGAACCAAGGTAAAGTGGCTTTTAAAAAAGTCAGAATAAAAAGTTGAGTATGAGACACGCTTGAACCACTCGACGGCAGAAGAGGAATGAAAACGACTTTGGAGTAATAATGTGGGAACACCTTGTGTTGCAAGCTCACAAGTGTTACAATCACATCTGCAGAGGATATGGTAGGCAGTTCACCTCTTCCCCTCTACCATGTTTCTCCTTTGCCTTGCTTCTACATGTTCATAAATTTCCCTGATTATGTATAATAATAGTTGGGTATGCATTGACACTTTTCACTTTTGCCTGTCTTCTCTTCACCTGAGAAAAAGGTTACCTGCTGGTCCACACTACCATTAATGTCTAACTTCAATTAGTCATACAGTTTTTTTCCTGAGCGGAATATAACTGAAAATATTTTCTGATGAAAACAGACTTGTATTCACGTCCTGTGTTAGCCATAGCATCAACTTTCCTACCTCATGTGTCCAGGTTTACTGCCCATGTGAAGTATTCTGCACAAGCTGTTGCCTACCCAAGTTGTGGGTAGTAAATTCCCATGCCCAGCTAAATGCAGTGCTGCACAACTGTACAGCCTCTCCTCACTTATCAACGGAGTTCCGTTCCTAAGACCATGTCGGTAAATGAATCCGTCGCCAAGCAAGGAGCATACTATAATGGTAGTGGGTTTGTGTCAGACCATTTTTTATATTGTTTTAATGTCACCTTTACACCATTTATAACATTTTTAGTATATATTTGAATGTTTATACAGCAGTGTACTGTATATTGGAATAAAAAGAGTAGAGGAAATCAGCTCTAATATACATTATTTAAGTATGCATACTGGCCAGAGAGCCCGTCATAAGTCCGAGTCATCAGTAAATGAGTACATCGCTCAGTGAGGAGAGGCTGTATTTTTCAGAGACAATCTGCTTCACACAGTCTTTTAAAAGTTAGAGTATTTAAAATGATTTATAAAGTCTGTTCAATTTTGTCTTCTCTTAAGAAATCATTATTTTTAATAATTATACCTGGACCAATGTCAGTTCTCAAACTCCTATCAGCTATTGTATTGTTCTGTATTTTTTCCATTGCTCTACATTTTGATTCAATGATTCTGGATGATCTCACAGCAGTAATTGTACTGCATGAGCATGTTTGATAGGAGTGAATGGAGACAAATGGTATTTGGGACCTGATGATCTGTTGGAGTGTGAGTAGGGTAATATTTAGTGAAGGGATTCTTAGAGAAACCAGTTATTTTTATATAGCCGGACTTGAGTCCTGGAAATGGGAAGTACAATGCCTGCACTCTAAAGGAGGGGTTCGGGATATTAGCAGTTTGGAGGGATACGTTGTGTATCTTTATACGTATATGCTTCTAAGCTTCTAAACTGTTGTGTTCTGAGCACCTCTGCAAAAACAGTGATTGTGTGTGAGTGAGGTGAAAGTGTTGAATGATGATGAAAGTATTTTCTTTTTGGGGATTTTCTTTCTTTTTTGGGTCACCCTGCCTCGGTGGGAGACGGCCAACTTGTTAAAAAAAAAAAAGCCATCACTCGCCTGTGGTCACAGGAATCTGGGAATTACCTCTCTCTGTTGTATCTGTTCACCTCTGGCAAGACTGTGATAGTGTGAATGATGATGAAAGTGTTTCTTTTTCAGGTCACTTTTTCTTGGTGGGAGATGTTAAAAAAAAGTCATCACCATTTTAGTCCTTTTTTAGGGCCTCTTCACCCTCTTAAAATTCCAGTTTTAATATGATGACTGGTTTCTATGCATTGTCCTTTTCTTTATCCCTTCTACTTTTGTTACAACCCTATATTACCACCTTATTTTCTGCTATTGCTGTCAGTCTCATAGGACTTAGGAAGGTGTATTCTTAAATGAATATCTTCGTGCGCTATGTTTTCTCTCTTGTTAACAGATCCAAGAAACTGAAGCTACCCCTATTCCTTAAGTCTGATGACCTCCCATTCCCAGGGTGCTGTATAACCCCCTGCGATTTTAGCATGTTCATCCCGTATGAATGTAATACTGATTTCTTTTTCTCGGTGTTAAATTGGCTTACCAAGCATCTGTGCCACAACATATATTGTGTATAGCCTTTTTTCTTGTAGAATATTTTTTTTAATTTTCTTTCTACACCCTATTTTGTCTTGTTCTAACATGTTCTGCATGTAACTAGCAAAGTGTAAATATTGGTGCCACAGTTCTTTTAAATCCTTTTCAATAATGTACTCTCCTGCATTTTGTGAAAGCTATAATGTGGATCACTTAAGAAATGCAATAGACATTAATCTAACTGTTTATAGAGACGATGCACTATTTCAAACATACTGTATACTGAATTTTTTTAAGAGCGAGTATGGTAACTAGAACCAGGGCGGACTCTGGTTCAAGTCTCCACACTTCATCTTGAAAAGTTGCAATTATTTATTGTGAAGTTTGCAGTCGTACTTTGTTATTTATGTTCATTACCTAGACTAATCAATTATATTTTTGTGTCCTTATGCATTTCAAAAATTTGCTAAAGCTTTTATCTGAGTTTTTTTAGATTTTAATAAAAAGGTGGATGTAAAATTTTTGCAAATGAAAGGTAATATTATACTGTTATAAATTTTCATTTAAATGTGGAGAGGCAAGTAAGTACTATTCATTTCATTTTTCTTGAAAATAGAATAGTTTTGTTGGAATTATTTTTTAATTTAGCGAAGTACAGCGGACCCCCGCCTTAGGAACGCATCGCATTATGTTAAATCTGTCATACAAAGCATTTGAACGCAAAAATTTTGCCTCGCCTCATGATAAAAGTCTCACCTTGCGTGATTCGTCTGGGACGCATCCCATGTGTGGCCTCAGCACCAGTGTTTACAAGCCAGCCAGTGCAGTCGCATCTACGCATACATTCGGTACATTTCGCATTATCCCAGTGTTTTTAGTGCTTGTAACTGCAAAATAAGTCACCATGAACCCCAAGAAAGCTTCTAGTGCCATCCCTGTGGTAAAAAGGGCGAGAATTAGTATGGAATTGAAAAAAGAGATTAAGGAAATGTCTGCAAAGTGTGTTGAACTGCAAACATTTACGGATGAAAATCACCCTGACACAGCTACTGCAAGCCGTGTTGGCAACCTGTACAGTGACAATGTTATGGCCCATCTTAGGAAAGTCTTAAAGGAACGGGAGGTACAGAACTCTATGGACAGATTTGTTGTGCGACAGAGGTCCAGTGACTCTCAAGCTGGTCCTAGTGGCATTAAAAAAAGAAGGGAAGTAACCCCGGAAAAGGACTTGCTACCTCAAGTCCTAATGGAAGGGGATTCCCCTTCTAAACAATAACTTCCACACTCTCCCCTCCTCCTATCCCATCAATCATCACCAGATCTTCAATAAAGGTAAGTGTCATGTATTTATTCTTAGTAGAGTAGTAATTGTGCAGGTCTTCTTCAGTTTGTGTGTATTAAAATTAATATTTCATGTAGTAAAAAAATTTTTTTTTTTCATACTTTGGGGTGTCAGGAACAGATTAATTTGATTTCCATTATTTCTTATGGGGAAAATTAATTCGACTAACAATAATTTCAGCTTATGATGAGCTCTCAGGAACGGATTAATATCGTAAGGCGGGGGTCCACTGTATATCGCAGGAATTAATTAATGTCATAATTATCTACATGTATATGCACCTAAGTAAAGGCAGGCTATATACAAAGCTTTATAATTAGGCATGATAGGGCCCACACAGTTAGAAGTAAACCCAGCAACAACCAGTTTAAGGAGGGCCAAGAGCTGGGATTCAACCTCTGTAACTACAAACAGGTGAGTAATATACATATATAGGTTATTTAAAAACATTATTTGTTCAGAGTACTGTATATTAAATAATTTTTATTGGGAACAACTAAACAGTAAGAATATGACTGTTTAATAACCGTTATTGTCAAACAAGTAAACAGTTTAAACTTGGCACTTGAATAACTGTCATAAACAAAAGTTAACAGTTTGCAAATGACATTTAAATAACAGCTATGATAACCCTTAACAAGTAAACATTTACATCTGGCACTGAGCAAAAGCGTCGACTACATATACTTATGAAGTACAGTACAGCAAATGGCATATAATTTTTTTTTTTTTAGCTGCTCATAAAATTTCTTTTAAACCTAATATAACATACTTTTTTTGGCTTCACCTTTTGTTTTTTTCCCAATATAAAAAAATGGAACATAAACACTAACTAAGAAAAACGCACTAGATGCAAACAGTTTCGTGGCGGAAAACGTGCTGATACTAAACTTTAAACTAAAATGATTTATGTTTTCAAAAGTCTGAGGTAATTGTTACAAAAATAAAAATATTCAAAATTTCTGTTGGCATTAGGTACAAAAAAAAAAAAATTTAAAAAGAAGTAAAGATAACATACTGGTTTGAGAATATGGCGGCTATATAAACAAACTTTTGTCAAAAAAATACTTTCTAAAATTCATACACTTACTGATTTGTATTACAAACACACATAATCCTGGAAAAATATATATATGCTCATGTATATCCAACTGAGTCTGCCAAAATCATACACACTTAATTCTAAAACATAGTTTCTTATACATCACAAAGTGACACGATGGCACTGATGATTCATCTTGGTAAACTGGAAATGTTGTGGAGCCGTGTTGGTATTGGTTTGTTGGTGTAGCACACAAGTATTATCATATTAATGGTATAGAATACTGACAAGTAGGCAAGAAAGACTCATGTGCAACAGGCTTGATCATGGACTGGGCTGCACGGGCATTGACCCCTGGAACACCTTCTAGGTATACTCCATGTATGAGATGCTTCACCTGTTCTGCAGTCTACCTACCTGGAGGGTGTTCTGGGGGTCAAACTCCCCCTCCTTCCCCATGGTCCAGTCCTTGACCAAGCCTCCTAGTCAAAATATAGAAGAGATGCTACTGCATCTCAACTGAGAAGACTGCTGAACAGGTGAAGCATCTCGTTGCTAAAGGTAATAAACTTGCATGTATCTTGCTCAGTGGTACAGTAGTGTTAGCCCTTAGTCCAAGTTGTCAAACAATCCATCCTCCACATACTAAGTTTGTTTTAAAATCTATTTTAGTGTGTTAATTTCTGCCTAGCCTAAATGAAGACTAGGTTAACATAACCTAATAAATCCTAAATTAATCTATAGTTATGTGTACATTAGTTGATCACCAATAATGAAATTCTGTTAATAGGTGGGTTATTCTTGACAGCAGAATTGCCAGTATCTGGCAGCCTCACACACTGTTTAGGTTGAAGGACGGGTTGCATATCGGAAACTGGTTGGTGACAGTGTGCTGAATTCTATGACATATTATACCATACCAGTTGATCTTGACAGTGAAGGAAGGATGTTATTCTGTTATGTGGGTCAGCACAAGGAGTGGTGGAGGCTTGATTATCTGTCAACTTATTGTGAGACAGACACTACCTAGTTATACTTACCTAGTGGTTCTATTAGAAAAAGATATTAGTATAGAAGAGTATATGGATTTTATTGATAATGCTAGCCAATGTGTTTAACATTAGACTAGTAATGCAAAGCTTGGTAACACTGATTTTTCTTATTTAATAAAATTTCTTTTCCTGTCATCAATTATGCAAATATTTCTTTTCCTATCATCAATTATGATAGGAAAAGAAATATTTGCAATGTTGGTATTTATTATGAAAATTAAGCTGCCAATATCAACTAATAAAGTAGAATTGTGTGGGGACAGTAAAGATAGCCCTGGGCTTGTAATGTTGACACCTTATGCAGGATTCTTGAGTGCCAACAATTTTCTAGTATTGTGGGTTTCATGTGTGCCACCATAGCTAGTAGTGGTGATAGTGAATGTCACTGTTACCAACACCAAACTATTAGTCGTAACTGTGAGGGGTGCCAACAATTGTCTATTGGGAGTAATGTAATGGGGTGCCAACACTAGATTAGTAGTGGTGGTAGTCATGGTAGTTGTCAGGAGTGCCAACATCAGCAGAGGGTGGATAGGAAGAGCTGTCAAAGAGAGCTTCCAGGACACTGTAGTCGAGGGGGTCCTGTGTGTCAAGGCTAGGCTGAGGATCCAAGGTATAATGTGGAAAGTAGCCAGAAGTGAGGGAGGCATCAGCCATAGGTGTGGGGTCTGTCAGGGGTCCCGTGCCCATGCTCGGGTACACCAGGGTTGGCTCCTCGTCACCGGCTACAGGCACCTGTGGGGGTAGTGGATCATACTCGTGGGTAGTTGTAGAGGTGGGTGGGGGTACATCATATTTTTGTTGGTGTGGTGGTGGTAGGTTATACTTGTGGGATGATGGAGGTGGTGGGGGTGGCAGTGGATCATCAAGGGGAGGTGGGGGGTGGTGGTGGTGGTGTTGTTGCTGCTGCTGCACCTTGAGAGTGGATGGGGTGTTGTACTTGTGGACAGAGCTACCAGGCTGGTCATAGGAGGTATGACTGCTGGCAACATCGTAACCTGTGTCGTCACAGCAAAGAATTGAACGGGCAGAGCCTGTTGGGGGCATTACTGGTGATTGACTGACCATTGGTGGTGGTGGTGCTGTGGGGTTACCTGCTGATTGACTGACGATAGACTGGGGTGGTGCTACAGATGCAGACATGACAGGCGACTGGTTGATGGATTGGGAGGGTGGAGCCACGATGGGGGTGTAGGCCTGGGATATCTGAGCTTCGTAGGCCTGGGCGTCCTCCTGGAGGCGCGCCCTCTTCATCGCTCGAAGCTCCTGATTTAGCTTAAAAAAGAAGGCAGCATGATGCAAGAAGAATCCTTGTTTTCCTTTGGGGCCGGTTGGTGGCGGACGCTGTTCATGTTGGCATCCCTCTTCTCGTGGAGAAAATCCTCTGTCTTCACCTCTTGCAGGTAGTCGTATGTCTTGAGGGGGCCGTTTCCGAAATCCCGCATCCTGTCGACGGCTGGAAATCTCCCGCTCGCATCTGGCCAATGGGATTCGTAAAAAGGGATTCGTTGATCCCCATTGGCTGAGAGAGCATGGGATAGCTATATCCTGGGTTATGATTGGCCGAGAATGGGTAGGAGGCAGGACCCAAAAGGTTGAGGTGGGTGGGATCATAGGAGGAGGAGTAGCTCCAGGCATCTCCAGAATTGAAGGGGGAGAGGGTGCTGAGAGAGTTGAAAGTGCCCCCAAGGCCCACCCCTGCACCTGTAAAACAGTTAAGACATGTTAGGGCAGTAAGTACTTTTAGACTGGGATATTATTGTTACTAGCAGTCCCATTTAGGCAAACGAAAATGTAGATCTGTTAAAGGTCAATTAGTGATACTTAAAAGGTCCAATCTCCTTATTCCATATTAGTTAAATTACAAATAGGACTCTGTCTTTAAGAAGGTACTTTTACAATGGCTGAATTCAGTAGGCATGGGCCTTAATGCGTGTAGTTATGTATTATGTACGTGGATAGCCAGCGGGTCTTCCAAATTGGACTAGTGGAATCGTCTGAGAGATTGGTGCCCATAGTCTGACGACTCAAGCCTCAACCAGAGGGCCTGGACAGGAGAATTAGCACAGAGAACATTTGATTCAGAACTATCAATAATTATGGTAATCAACCCATATTAGGTAAACAATTGTCCTCCTGTTCCTATCCTAACTCCAAGGTATGGAAAAGTCCAACTGGCTTCATATGCACCCTAATAATAATAGTATTCTTGCATGCTTAAAGAACAGTCATTTACAGATTCGGCCACAGGGCATTGACCCGAAAGCCTTCCAGTTCACTCCAGTATTCCCAGGTAAGGGAGAATTGTGATTATTTGGCTACACATTTGCCATTTTGACAATGACTTCTTCAACTATCAGCCGTTCCCACCGAGCAGGGTGGACTCAAAGACACAAACAAGGTTTCTCTGTTAATTAGTAATATACACAGGAGGAAGGAGTCCTAGCTCTTGACTCCGGCATTTTAGTCCCCTTGTCAACAGCCATGGCTTACGGTGAAGAATTCTGTCCACTCCCAGGAGGTAAGGGAAATAAACTAAGAACAAGAACTAGAAAGACAACTAGAAAAAACAGAGGGGTGTGTGTTGCAATATATACTGTACATGTCTGGTAGTGTGACCAAATGCAAGTGAGCTAGCAAGGACGATACCCAAAATCTTGCAGTTCTAGCAGAAAACAGGTCACGCAACCTACCATCATGAAAAATTAAGGCTTTCGTTGACACTCACTTGGAGGACGTAGTTACCTCCGGATGCGTTGCTTTTACCAACTATACTACAATTTACAGATATACTTTTTTTTATGTACTACAAATTTTACTAATTTTACTGTTGCCAATGTTTATTACAGTGTTTAAGAGTGCTATAATTTTAAAAACACACTAAATAATTTACATCCTCTGAGCATAGGATTTTTCACAATACATCATATGAGTTTTTTAAGTAACTATTGATGGTATGCTTACAAATTTAGTCAAAATTTCAGTGATTTTTAGAAGCTAAAGTCGTACACTTTTAAAAATGCAATGTATCATTTGATATATCTGTTTATTTTATAATTGGCTAAAGTGTAATATAAATGATCTTTGATTATAATGCAATGTATCGAAATGTATGAAGGTCATTACAAACTCGCATAGAAAAAATAAAAACGGGTGATTTATTTGATAAAAAGCTAAACACGACTATTAACTACACAAAAAATATCTATCATCTATATCCTAAGTTAAAACCCCATTGATGAAGGATTTTTAATTAAAAATAAACAATAAATTGTTTAAGGTGTACTTGGGTGCTGGTTCCCTGCACCTGCAAGATTATGGATTATATAAGTTGCAGAAATGTTCACCAAAACGTAAATTTACCTGGTGGTATATAATTCTTCCTCGGCGGTTCTCTCTTCCTCCACTTGGCTCGGCGGTTCTGGAACCACACCTGAACACGTGATTCAGACAGATTGAGTTTTACTGCTAATTCCTCACGGGCAAACACATCTGGATATGGTGCTCGCTCAAAAGCTCGTTCTAGTTCCTCCAGTTGATATGCTGTGAAAGTCGTCCTGTTGAGGAAACAACAAATTTGCTTTTAGCATTAACAATAAATATACACATGGTACATATAAACATTAAATTAAATTTGTATATGCATAGTATGTATACAGTATATATAGAGTATACATGCATTCACTTTGCACATTATCATAAGATGCTAGTGAAGCTGTTTTCTTTATGTTGCATGGCAGAAAACTAATATTGCATGCCATAAATTTGAGGGCAAATAACTACTGCCCAGAGCAACCAGGCTGTGATGGATATGTGGGTTGGCAGACCACCAGCAGCAACAGCCTGGTTGACCAGGCAAGCACCAGACGAGCTTTGCCTATGGCTCAACTCCGAAAGTAGGTATGTATGTCAAAGGCCCATGTTACAAGCCAATTCCTGTTAGAACACAATGGGAAAAACAAGTGTTCTGTGAGTAATCCTGATTGTGAAATACTGAAGAGAATGATATAGGTCAGTACAGTTAGAGCCAAAGAAGGCCAAGAAGTTACTGAATATGTGGACTGAACACAAAACAAAGTGCCCCATTTAATGGCCTTATGAAAAGGGAGAATGACCCATCGTGCTATAAAACAGTGTGTGAACAGGAAGAAAAGCTGTGAAGCTATGAACCACTCTCTGGAGTAGGTGGTTACTGTTTTATCATCGGCTATATAAAGAAATATGGAATAAAATAGAACAGAACTGCATTACAGAATACCTGAGAACTCCAGTACAACAATCATCTACTTAACCTAACAACAACAACCATCCACCTCAGCCCAGTAGTGCCACACCAACCATCTTCATGCATGTCAAGGCCTACAAACACCTCCAACCAGATTTTCAGGAAAGAAATTTTTTTTTAAGTTATCTTGTATGGATTTATTTGAGATATTGGAACCCTAACCTTATATTCTCCACAAGTTCTTCACTTTGTTTAACAGGGATTTCAAATGGAAAAATTTTTTAGGAATGGAACTCCCATGTTTTGTGGGGTCTCTACTATATACTATGGGTTTAGTACTTTCTCATGGCTATAATAATTAATTTACATGTGTATAGTGTTACCTTGTCAGTGGCTCTTAATATTCCGCTAGCCTAGATAAGCTATACCTATAGGCCAACCTGAAAATTTTTAGTGGCTAGACAATAACTTCCTTTAGAGTCTACTATATAAATAGCCAAACCACAAGAATTAAAATCTACAAGCTGAGACTAACTGCATGTGCAGGAAACCTAAATGTTACTGCAATAACCCAGACCAGGTTCAGTCTGAAAAATAGGAATGGGTATTATTCCACACTGGTAGAGGTAACAGGAAAGGGGACAGGTTTACTATATATCTTGTGTCAGACAAGATATAAAGGCAGAAGGAACAGACACACAATCTGGCTGCAGTTTCTTTAAGGGCATGAAACAATAATTTTAGATGTAAACTTATGAAATGTTAACACATCCAGACATGAAAACTGGTTTTATTGCAGGATGGACATGAATGTGCTGGAAAATATACAGAGAAGAATAAAGTTGATTGCATGTAGGGAAAACCTGTGCTATGTAAACAAGGTGAAAACATTTAACTTGTACTCCCTAGAAAGTAGTAGAGGTAGGGGAGATATGACTGAAGTGTTCAAATGGAAAACTGGAACAAATATAGGGGATATTAATAGTGTGTTGAAAATATAACTTGAAAATATATAAGGAAGACAAAACTTGCAGCATGGATTGAGATTGGTGAAATCTGGATTTAGAAAGCATATAGGGAAGTGCTGGTTTTGGCAACAGAAGTGTATATGACTGGAACAAACTCCCAGGTAGCATCATTGAGGCAAGAACTTTGGGTAGCTTCAGATGACCTTGACTCACGAAATCGTAATGACACGATTGCAAACAAACCATACCACGGGCAGGGATAGAACCCGCGATCTGAGAGTCTCAAAACTCCAGACCGTCGCGTTAGCCACTGATTTTTTTTTTTCAGATGACCTTGCCTAGAATGGGCCAGTAGGCCTACTGCAGTGTTTGCTCTTGTGATACAGGTTTACCACTTCCCTGTGAATATATTATTGACCTAGCTTCGAGAGTAAGTAAAGAAGTTATTTAGGTACAGGTACACATTAGTACCATACAATTATCATACATAGTAATGTCTGCAAATACTTAGGATAACCCAAAAAGTGACTTAATTCCACTGTGGTCCTTGTAATATCTTAATTATCATTTTTTTTTTGAGAGAGAGAGAGAGCCCATGATTGTCAGTTTAATAACACATCTGCATAAGCTAGATAAATACTGTAAATAAAAAAAGGTTAACATTCAAATATTAAGTTGGAAAATGTACGAAAAATTTTGAACTTCAGAAACTCCCTTTGATGATACAAAACTTTAAGGGTGTTTCTATATACTGGTGAGGGGCTTTTGATCCAAGGACTTACCCCTGCTCTCCACTTCCTTGGATCAAACCAGATTGCCTTTCATTATTCCAGGCAGCTATGTGAGTCCCCATGGGTTTAGCACTCCCCTTATAACTATGACAGTATAACATATGCAACACAGCATATTCAGTGGAAAAATGACCTATGGACACAAAATAGCATTTTAGGTATTTACATTTCCTTACATCAAAATTTCCGGTTAAGGTAACCCTCGTAGGTTTAGCGCTTCTTTATTATAATAAAAGATAACGTAAGGTTCTGAATTCACAGCATAGAAAAATCGAATCTTTCTGCCTCCCAATACCCGGGAGCTGTACTACCCTTACGGGTTTAACGTCCCCTAAATATAATTTAATGTCGTAGTCCTTTATTTTATTGATGTGAACCCCTCAAGGAAGGTTCCTTGATGTTGGTGAGGGGCTCTTGATTTAGGGAATTGGATCTGTGCTCCAGTTCCCCGAATTAAGCCTGAATGCCTTCCACATCCCCCCCCCCAGGCGCTGTATAATCCACCGGGTTTAGCGCTTCTCCCTTGATTATAATAATAATAATAATATTGATGTGAACGGGTTTAGCGCTTTCTTGTGAACAAAATCTTTTCTCCGTTAATATAACAATAATAAGAGTTAATTTTATAATAAAAGTTAGGCAGTAAAGTGATATTTGTGTAACAGTAACAACACAAGTCCTGGTAGCCTCTACAACAACGTGTGACAGGTTCTTCCTGGGAAGATATTGACAATATTGACAATATTGACAATATTGACAATATTTCATCATTGCTCCTCGTAAATAGTGCTAGAAATTGCACAGCATTTCCCGTATAGCTGGCGAAATTGCTGCGAAAATTCGGAGGTGAAAGAGAGAGAGAAAAACAACTAAACACATGATAAACGTCAGGCTGGCTTCCTCACTCCAGCTGAGAAGTCTTTTTTGACCCCTGTGTGTTATGGATTTATGGTTATAAAAACGTAACCGTGACAGACAAATGGAAAAAAAAATGACTGATATTGCTGGTAAGTACGTCAAAACATTCACTTCACCCCTCCCCCCCCCCCTCTCAGTTACAGCCACATTAACAACTAGACAAACAACCCTTCTACGATTTTGACCTTTATGACACTGGTAGCATGACCGTAATTATCCCTACATTGGATAAATACAAAACCCGGAGAGTTTCTGGCGAAATATTACCCCGATATGAAATTTTTGTTTCAGTTGTGGAACAATTCGTACGGCAGTTAATATATAACCTTTCAAACAAGCTGGGTCCCCCACCATTACCTCAGGGAATGACTTAATATTCAAAGTTGTTCAGGATGTATCAGGAAGACTTGGAACTACGCAGCGTGTCAGTAAGGTACGAGTAGCTTAGTTATCCTGACGACCCTTGTGGTTTAGCGCTTCTTTTTGATTATAATAATCTATCTTGATGTATCACCACACACACACACACACACACACACACGATCCCTGTATTTTATTATCAAAACCGTATATAAGTTATTGTATGGCTAAACTCGGCACTGCATTTACAAGGTTAGGTCATTAATTATGTTTACTTACTATATCCGTCACTCAGAATTGGTTTCCTGCCACTCCATCACAATATGGAATTCGCCCCTGGTTAGGAGGGCCGGGAATTGGCTGGATTAACGTTTATGAAGGTTACGTAAGGTTTGTCTTAATCTGCTTAAAACCTTAATTTTTAAAAGGGGTGGACCGGTAAGCCAGCGGAAGGCCTCGGTCAGATGACCAAAAGCTCCAACGGTGGGTCATCATCTAGACCAGCGTCAGGAAACACTTGTCCTGTTTCCTGACGAACCTTACCTTACCTAACCTAAGGTTTGCCAGGAAACAGGACAAGTGTTTCTTGACGTGGGTTTTAGTCAGAAAATGTCCCACAGTTGGAGCTTCTTGTCATTTGACCGAGGCCTTCCGCTGGCTTACCGGTCCACCACTTTCAAAATTATGGTTATGATTATAACCATAAAATAATGATACAGGGGAAAGAGGATAGTCTCTCCTGTTTCAGACCTTCCTTCCAGAAGTCCTGTAATCTACATGGAACAGTAGAGCGCAACTAGGTTGGGCGTCTTTCGCGTGATTAGCAGGAGGATCGAGCCTCCAAAAACCACAAGAGAAATGGGTTTACACAAGGTAACGAAATCTATCAGCCTAGAGAAAATTTATTATTTTTGTAGCTGTCACAGTAGGTCCAGCCACAAACACCGGCAGCAATAAAGGGGCTGGGATGGGTTACCTGATTGTACCAAGGCCAATCATTTTATAAATCAGTTTAAGATTAGAGCTTTAGAATATATATCTGATGAATGAAGAGGCAGAGAGGGAGAAAAGTGACGCCCAAAGCCATTAACATAGCACTGTTCTATATAACCCATACGACTTTAATGCTTCTTTTTGTTTTAATGTAGAATTTATTTTTTGTGATATTCTTAAGGGATGAAGAGCCCCTCAGGGAAGGTTCCTTGATCTAGGGAATTTGATACGTGCTCCAGTTCCCTGAATTGAGTCTGAATACCTTCATCCCCCCCACAGGCACTGTATAATCCCACGGGTTTAGCGCTCCCCATGATTATAATAAGGGTTGGAGATAACGTCAAGTATTATTATTATTATAATCATGGGGAAGCGCTGAACTCGTAGGATTATACAGCGCCTGTGGGGGAGAGAAGGTATTCAGGGAATTGGAGCACAGATCCAATTCTCTAGATCAAGAGCCCCTCACCAACGTCAAGGAACCTCGCTTAAGGGGAACGTCAAATATGTGTGCTTAACTTGGAAAAAATAATGACTAATGGAAGAGTCACATTGTTCAACTTTATTGGGTTATTCTGTTTTAATGTACATAATTTACTATATTAACTCACATGTATATATCCTCAGAAATATTGCATAAATTTCTATTATTGTTTTTAAAACCATTTGTAAGTTTTCTAAATAGAACCTGTGATGAGTCGGTATCTAAGCAGTGCCATGAAGATATCGTTAAGTATTTCTATCTTGGACGAAGAAGTGCTTCCTTTGTTCATTCGCCAGAAACAGCGTCCTGACATGTATTTTTCAGGTGACCCGATCACTGACTTCAGAAAGGAGGGTGGGTGATGTAAAACTGGAGGTACCGATAATGGTGGCTCCATTCATGTCAGAAAATGTGTCAGGCTGAAACCCATTGTTGGCAAGTCCTAAAACTCAGACCAATATGCTTACCACCAGACCAGCTGACTTTAATAGGATTAATCCAACTAGGTATATTTCTATACACCATAGGGATGTTATATGGGCCCTACCGTGACAAATTCTGTTTTTTTTTTTTTTAGAGACAAAATCCACATCAGCATAACTGGCGTACTCTAGCTGAAGTCCCTTCAAAGTCGCTACATCAATGCTTTGTGGGAATCGTCTGTAAGAACTTGTATTTCTGGCCATAGCAGTGCCCATGCTAGCATCCGCTAGCATCCCTATGATGTACACAAATATACTTAACAGGATGAATCATATTAGCCAGCTGGTCCAGTGGTAAACACTGGTCTGTGAATTTTAGAACTCGCCTGCCCCCACTAGTTCTGTGATTTGTTTGCAATCGTGTTATTACTGTTTCTAGAGTCTTGGGATGGATGATTGCTGTAATATAATTGTGGCACCGGTAGCCCAATGGCAGAGGCGCGGCAAGTCTTGCACAAATGTGGTGCAAAAGTAATCTAATGTCAGCTATGCGTAGGTCGTGTCTTGAGTCTGGTGTTCTCAAAGGAGCAGCTCTTCTCAAACTCAACAAACGCAGCTGTGTGTTATCATTGGTAGAATATGCAAATAAGTATGTGCATTACACAATATGCAGTTAACGGCGTTTTATGAAGAAGACTTTTGGTTCACAATTCACAATATTTTGACTCGATAAAATGCCATAAACCTCACACTGTCTTATTCACAAACTCTGCTCTATCATATTAACAATTTACACTACCCACAAATTGATGAATAAGACACATATGCAACACTTAGATATCTTTGCCAAAACGTTTCACCTGTGTAACAGGCTTCATCAGTTGAATAAATAAGAATATAACGCTGGAGAGAGTAGAAGTGGAGAGGCAATTTTATGACTAAGCGACCGAGGGCAACTCCAATGTTCTAGATCAAGAGCCCTTCACCAGCATCAGGGACTCGCTTTTAAAGAGAATAAATCATTTTTTTTCCCTAAAACTATTTACGGACGTAGCTGTATTAGTAGTAGGTGATTCTCCTCTTATTTGTAAGTTATGTTACTGCTACTTCCCAAGTAATGGTGGTAGTGGGTGTAGACAGCCGTGAGAGCCTTGGCGGTGCTCAAACTGCGGTTTAATTTAAGAGTTTTATAATAAAACTTATACCCATCCTGTGGGCGGTAGTCAAGAGATGAGAGGCACAAAATGGGTTCAGGGACCCGGGCCCTGAAAGTTTGGATAGCTAAGCAAGTTCCAGTCGTAATTAACTAGTTATATGGTTATGATCTGGTTACAGTCGTAATACGTTGTTCATGCAGAGCCACAGGGGAACGTAAATCCATATACTCGCTTAAGAGGAATTTACCCGACAGTTCACTGGTGCTAGTAACCACGTTGTTGAAGCAGCCTAAGCTAAAACGATGGTGTTTTGTGAGATGTTGCGTCGTTCTTGTTTCTCCTGTCTTATGTGGGGATATACCGTTTACAACTCTGCGCCCTTCAAGGGAGGGGTTTTGATACTGGTAAAGGGCTCTTGATCCCAGGAACTAGAGCTATTTTTACTCTGGGTCAAACGTGATTACTTTTCGATATCCTGACGCTGAATTACTCCCTACGGCTTTAGCGCATTCTCATGAGGTAATAATAAGAGGAGACAGCTGTATGGGTCTTGTGGGTCTAGCGCTTGGTTATGATTATGACAACTCTTATCATTATTATTATTATTATTATTATTATTATTATTATTATTATTATGTACATACAGTCAACATTGGGAGCTCTCACTCAACGCCTTCCCAAAACTTTTTTGGGTGATTTATTTTTTCACTAATGATGGGACGATGCACAAATTATTGCTAATACCAATACTTTATTTTAGGCCGTTACCGATACTGTCAAAGCCGATAACCACCGATAACGATGTTTTGGCACACCCCTGTTTTTCAATATCTTTATTCTCCAAGTATCTTTTAACCTATCATGATTATAATATAATAATTTCTACAGATAACATGGTCAAAATATTACAGAACTAGTTGTCATCATTGGCATACTATATATAAATCCCCTGGTTATGCAGAGCATTTCGGGTAACATGGGTTAATCTTGTCCCCCCAGGATGCTACGCAGTAGTATGCTAGCACCCGGGTACCTACTTACTGCTAGGTGAACAGGAACAGCAGATATAAGGAAACATTTCCAACGCTCACGAGCGGACCCAAAGACACTTTTGGTATACTAGATGTAAACTAAGGCTCTGCTCCTTTAAAATCGGTGTCAGGCAAAAGCCGGGCTCATACGACATACACAGTTGCCCTTAAAAACCACACAAATTAGACTCCACCATCAAATAGACCCACGTCACTAACCAATAGAAAATTTCGTGTTTGTTTTTCAATTGTTACATATTGTTAAGATATTAATGAAAATAAGGTATTAAACATATTAAACTAATTTCCTGATTTGCTTGCAACAGATAAGCGAACTGTAGGTGTAAATCCAGAGATACTCCCGTAAACTCTTTTGGGGCCTAGTTCCTCGGCCTTTTGTTTAGCTAGGTGCTATATTTTTGGGGCTCTAAGACCCTAGTAGGTTTAGTGCTGCTTTTTTATTATATTTTTGGGAAGCGCTAAATCTGTAAGGGTTATACATCACCTAAATAATGTGAAGCATTCAGGTTTATTTCCTAGGAAGGGAGGGATGGCTCCAGTTCTCATGTCAAGATGCTGTCACCAGCATCAAGGCACATCTCTTGAAGGGTCATATCTCTCAAGAAAGGTGGCCAGATCAGTGGAATCCTTTACGTATCGGTCTTCAATTTGTGCTATAGTTTTCGAATTTTTTTCTCTATAACTTAATAAATTATCAAACTGAGATTGAAAATCAAATTTGTGCTTTTCTTTAAGAGCTCATAGAGAAATTCGCTAGTGAGAAACATGATTATCCAACATTGATAAGCCCCAGATATTGAAAATGTCAATGAAAAATATAACTAGGTTTGATGGATGAAATTGGGGTCTTCCCGTGTCTCCCCTGAAGGGAAGTCAATCATGCACTAGTTTGATACAGTCTGATGATGATTATGATTGATAATGGTGGCGGTGGAGGTGGTTGCGATAATAGTGATGGCTGACAGTCACAACCTGAAGCAGCCTACACCAGTTCATTGGTCAGTTATAAGTTGGAGTCACCCTCCCCTTGAATCAAATCCGATTATTACCCCTCGATCCCCAGGAGCTGCATGACCTATACGGGTGTAGAGCTTCCTCACCGAATATAATAATAATCGTACGGAGACATCCGTAAATAACTAATCACCAACTTTGGCGATATGAAAGGACATCTGTTGTTAGCGTTAGCGACCCATTCAGATTTAAGGAGTATTTTTTTATATATAATAATAATACAGCATACAAAAAACTCGTTGTCTTACCTCGTTTTCTTTTTTTTCACACCAGGTGTGTCTGAGGATTTCTTAGATTTAGAGTCTGACTTCTTGGTAGACGGTTCTCCTGCAAGACGAAAGGAGGGATAATTTAATTATAAATAAATATTCTTATCAGACATTATTATAGTACTACAAGATTATCAAAACTCGCCTCTCCCATCTCTCCCATTACTGAACAAAGTACAGCCCTACGATTCTAATTACAGTTCTAAAAATAATCGAACAGGTATAAGCTTTGAACTTTTTATGGGCTTAGCGTTTTCCCCTAAATATAATAATAACAATAATAATCCATCAATACATTTTGTTCATTGTTACTCCGGACACAGTGTACTGATATCACATCTAGGGGAAATTTTTGGGAAGTCTTGTTGACATCGGCGATTAATATTTTTTCGGTTTTCAACTCCTTGTGGCAGTGTTTATTTGTTCATTTGTGCTTGTCATCATGAAATTTTTTTTTTCTTACTAGGTTTCCCCGAAGAGGTACCTTTAAGATGTTGCCTGATTTTTTCCCTCTAAAGTTTTCATTTATAACTCGAGAAGGCCTTATTTGATGGGCTTCGAATTTTCAGTGTTGGTGCACTGTAACCAGGGAAAGATTTGTGCAACTGTGAGCATGTACAAGTGCCTCTGGTGAATTTTATTTAGATAATTCCCGATTTTGATTTCCGTGTGATTTCTCGAGAGTGCATATGACGTTAGTGTTAGCACTGTTACCATACTGTAGACTGACGTGTTAGCACTGGTTGCCACACTGTAGAATGATGTGAAGTGTTAGCACTGGTTGCCACAATGTAGAATGACATGTTAGCACTGTTGCCACAATGTAGAATGACGCGTAGTGTTAGCACAGGTTACCACTGTAGAATGACGTGTAGTCTTAGCACTGGTTGCCACACTAGAATGACGTGTAGTGTTACCACTGGTTGCCACACTGTAGAATGACATGTAGTGTTACCACTGATTGCCACACTGCAGAATGTCGTCTCCTTAATAAACATCTCGATCAGGGCATCATTCTTTCACCTTTCTCGGATAGCATAGTTACTGAAACACATTTTATGAGGAAAGCCAAGGCTGGAGTTGACATCGCTAGTGGCATATTAACTATTTGGGCTGTAATGTACTGCTTTCCTGGCGGTAAGTTCGCACACTGGATGAGTGTCGAGCTGTCTGATATCGTCTTTGTAACACTACTTATTCACAGGTTGAGTGCTGCTATCTAATACTGTCCTTATAACAATATACTCGCTCATACAACGAGCGCCATTCTTCAGTAAACTCTCAAGTACGAGCTCCACTCCCCAGTAAACTCGCAGAATTTTAAATATGTGGGATAATTTTGGCTTGCCAGTGTTAGTGTGTATGACTGTATATTAATATTTGAGACGAGCACTCATTGACCATCACGTAGGTCAAAATGTTATGTAACTTAAAACTTTCTACCCTCGCGTATCTGATTTCCATCCTCTCCTATAATCGCAATCCATATGGATTTTGCCCTTCAAGGAGTACCTTGATACTGGTGAAACACTTAAGGCGCTGGCCCCCGAGGGTTCAACATTTCCCCGTCAATATAATAAGGATGTACAAAATGGCGGCGTGTTTTCCAAGCTTGTTGATGACATCACGTGACCTTTACTAGAGATGACTAACATGTAGTGGTGTTACTGTAGGACTGACGTGTCTACCTGGAGGGTGTTTTGGGGGTCAACGCCCCCGCGGCCCAGGCCTTGACCTCCCGGTGGATGGGGGCCTGATCTTGTAGTGCCACACTGCAAAATGACGTGTAATGATATACATTTAGAGCCAAACTGCAGAATGACGTGTAATGCCACATTGCAGAATAAATGCCACATGCTTGTAGTGTCACACTCGCAAGTTTTATTAATATACTTGTAAAAGGAACTGAATGACGACTCTTATGAATGCAATAAATTGTTTAATGAAATAATCGCGCTGAATGACCCACGCTCGTGCAGCGGTTTTTGGGAAAATAAAAACAAGAAGAGAAAAAAGAAGACCCTGTTTAGCCTCGTGTGCTTAGACTAGTGATAGTTTAAGATATATTGAATGCCAGGGACACGAAGGCAGCAATCTACTGTACCTTGTTTAGGACATTTAAGTAAATTTTACCTCTTAGAAGAAGCTCTTGTTTTTTTAACATAACTTCTTAAAGGGCGCTAATGATTAAACTCGATATAATATGTCTTTTTTATTCTCATATATTATTCCTGTTTTTTCTGCACAGGCACCACACCAGCGGTGTTTTCCGGTATCGGCCTCACATTCGTTACTTTGGTGTTGGTGGATATTGTTCCAGAAACGATATTGTCCTTTATTCTTCATGTGTATGATCTTCCTGGTGTAATGTTTTGTCAGTGATGACCCTTGGATTCTTATTCGCTCTCTCTCTGTGTAGCTTATAATGTTTTATCACACATTTTTAACACGTTGGCTGTCTCCTACCGAGACAGGGTAACCCGAAAAAGAAACACTCACCATCATTCACACTATCACTGTCTTGCCAGAGGTGCGCAGATACGACAGTTTAGATGTCACTTTAAACAGCAAATATATCCCACCCCCCTTTAGAGTGCAGACATTGTACTTCCTTCTTGTAAATCATTCTCACAAATTAGAAGTATCGGATCAAGTACAGTAGTACTACTATTGTGCCACCGCGCTGGTGCTAGTTTTCCTGAGCAGTTTCTCGTTATCATTGTTCGTATTTTCCCTATAGATATATTTTTTTATGTGATCTAGTAAGTGCAAAAACCACAAAGTATGTTCTAATGTTTTAATCTTGGGTTATTTTGGATTTCTTAGTCATGTATTTATTATTATTATTAATAGTAGTAGTAGTGCTACAAGTAGCAGTAGTAGTAATATTATTGATAGTACTGTAGTAGTGGTACATTATTATTATTATCAGGGGAAGTGCTAAATCCGTAGGCAGCCTCAAGTAACCCGCCCACACCTACTTATGTACCGTCCAACCTATATTTAAAACTGCCTAACAGTCTTACCCCAATGACTCTACCTGGGAGTTTATAGCATTCATCAACATCTTTATTTCCAACCAGTACTTCCCTATAGCATTTGTAAATCTAAATTTCTCTGTTGCTGCGAGCCTTGTCTTGATTAGAAATTTTCAACGTGCTGTTTATATGTTGAAGTGTATAAATGCTTTCCATTTGTACACTTCAACATATCTCTCCTAATTCTAGGCCTTTCCAGGGAGTGCAAGTTCAGTGCCTTCAGTCTGTTTTTGTATGAGAGGTTCCTAATACTTGGAGTCAACTTCGTCATCATCCTCTATATATTTTCCAGCGCATTTTTGGCCATCCTGTAATGCAGAGACAAGAACTGAGCAGCTTAATTTCATTGAGGCCTTGAGAAGCCAAAAATTCTTTTAGCTTTGTTGCGAACAATAATGCACTGTTGTCTTGGCTTTAAATTTCTGCTAACTTAGAACTTCTGAATCATTTTTCGCATTTTGACTAGGAGTTACATTATTTAGCGTTTAAGTGCATATGCGATGACCTACATTCGTCACTTCTTTGATCATAATATCAACCTTTCCAAGTCATCCTGTAGCCTACTAGCGTCCACATCAGAAATTATTTGACGTATTTTAGTATCGGCAAAATCGGTTACGTTGCCTTATTCCCTCATCTGTGTAGATTGTGAACAAGGGGTTCTAACACTGACCTATGTGGCACAAAACTCGTAACGGGTCCAGAATCTGATTTCTCCCTGTTTATGCAGTCTTTCTGTTGCCTATCGGTCAGCCATGTCTCAGGAGATAATTTATCATCCTATACCATGTGGTGCTACTTTTTTAATCAGTCTCCTGTGTGGAACCTGATCAAAGCCCTTACTGAAGTACATATACACAATATCGTTTCTTTATCTTGGTCTACCACCTTGAATGCCTTAGTGAGGAAGGTGAGTAAATTTATAAGGAAAGAACTCTCTTTTGTAAAACTATGCTGAGGTTTCTAATCAAATTATATCCTTCAATGTGGTTTCGAAATGAATCAGCAATTATTGATTGAATAAACTTTCTCACAATTGAGGTTAGGCTGATTGGTCTATAATTTGAAGCTAAGGACCTATCAACCACTTTGTAAGTGTGTATCACATTTGCCATTTTCCACTTGTCCAGTACGATACCCGTTTGTAGTGATCTGTTGAAGAAACTGGCAAATGGTTTGCTAAGCACTTCAGAATCCTTGAAAACAGCTCATCAGAGGCTGGTGACTGCGACTTCGCTAAATTTTGTCTGAGAACCATATCACTAGTGACTAGGAAAACGTGGTCTAGCTAGGAAAGGGGATAGAACCAGGAGCTAAGTAATTTTTGCGGTGATTGAGGCTGGGAGTGTGGTAGGACGGTCCAGGCGTTGTCCCTGGATCTATGACATTTCTTGGCTAGGCTAAGAGAAGATGGTAGACCTCTGAAGAGCAAGTGCTTTGACGCTTGTGAATGGTTCTTGATTTACGGAATTGGAGTTACCCTTCCCATCCCCGGATGAAACCTGTCTTCCGTTCCCCAGACTCTGTATGACCCCAGTTGTTTAGCGTGACGAGAATGTGAGAATAATAATAAAATAAAATAGGCTGCGACTCATCCTTTCCTCTTGAGAAAGTGTTGGGTTATATAACACCTGGGATATGGGAGGTAACTAGGTTTGATCCGAGGACTGGGGGGTAGGCGGTGGAGCTGGGTGATATGGAGGGTAGGCATTAGGTAGACTAGATTAAAGGAAGTGGGTAGGAGGAAGCTAGGTGTGGCTGGGACTGACCTGTAGAGCTAGGAGGTTGCTGGGACTGGTTAGGTGGAGTGGAGGCCGACTGTCCTGGGTAGGATGGTCCCCCCTCATCCAACTTCCTCTTCTCCCCCACCGCTGGCCCAGGTAAGGGCGCCTCCAGGGAGCTACCGGCGTGGGCGTGCGAATGAGCGTGGGCGTGAGCTGGTTGAGCCTGGGCGTGGTTGTTTTGCACGTGCGAGTGGGCGTTTTGGGCGTGCGAGGGCGTGTGCGGGTGTGTGTTTTGAGAGTTGAGATTTGTAAGAGCGTGCTGGTTCTGCGTGTTGTAGTGAGTGGGTTGTGGGGGCGTGGGCGTGTTAGGGTGGGTGTTGACGTGGGTGTTGGGATGGGTGTTGGCGTGGGTGTGCGGCACGGGCGTGTTGAGGCCCTCCTGGTACTCCCTGTGGTTGGGGGCGAGGGAAGGAGCCACCATAAAGTCAGCGGGGAGACCAAGCATTACTTGGATACTGTGAAAGGTACCACCAGTGCCGGCCGAGCCTCCAACACCACCCCCAACGCCCCCACCGGTGCCCCCTCCACATCCACCACACCCGGCTCCACCAACACTCTTCCCTATACCGCTACCGTTCACTCCAACATTGCCTCCAACACTGGCGGGGCTAGTTGAGTTGGGCTGACCGTTCATAATGGCCAAGGATGCTGTATGGATGATCTCCGTAATGAGCTAATTATCTCGGTGGCCACTCTGCGTTGGCGGCGCAAACCGCCGTACACTTGCGAGTTAAGTGGTGGTAATTAACATGGGTGACGGGGTACGGGTGGAGGAAGTATTAGAGTAGGCTGAGTTAGGGTGGTTGAAGGTAGTTAAGGGTGTCGGGAACTCCTTAGGCCGGCGACAAGGAACACCAATGGGCACAATTGGCAGCCCCCCGCCTCACAATCCCCGAAATGGCGGGTAACGAGAACAATGTGGCGGTAATCAGCCGGTGCTGCTTTCCCCGCACCGACTCAATTCCGTCCACGCCAGCACTAACTAGTCTCAATTGGTCTCCGGCTTCCACTAATTTAGCCAGGAAGGCAAAGCGCTCAGATCGACTTGATCAAATCTAACCACCAACTTTTCTTTATATACGGCAATTATCCTTGTTAGGCCCCGTTGGCCCCACCCTCCTCCTCGGTGAGCCAATCCCACAGCTGGAAGGGGCACTGCTGCCATCTTGGTGTCAGCAGGCAGCCAATAGGAGCGCGGGACTCATTTTAGGGTACTGGCGCCGTGGTGGACCAATGAGAGAGAGCCTAGCCCTCATGCTGACGTCACCCACACGTGCACCACACCTCCCCTTCCATCAAACCACCTCCTCCCCACCACTACTGCGTGTTCACTGTTCCTTGATATCGTTGCTACCTTTGCTATGGAGTCTCAGCCGTTAGGGTATGGAGCGCAACAAGTCTTGCACCACGAGGGGAGGTTGCAGGGATGGGCAGCGGTAGAGGGGTAGGGCAGGCCGAGGCTGAGCTGCTGGGTAGCACCCCAGCACTGCCTGAGGGCTGACTACCCCTTATTATTCTATTAAAGTGCTATTACCCCTCTATTGTGACCCCCGGGCTCTCTCCCTTTCCCTCCCAGGTCTGACTCTCTCCCCTCTTCCCCACCAGCACAGTCCTCACCACAGCTACTGCCTCGATGCTGTACTTCTTGCCTCAACAGCTACATTTATCATGCATGTTGATTTTGGGTACAAAACCTGATCAGTACAGGTCAGTGTGTTGCCGCCATTACGCATCCTTACTCTTGTAGTGACGTGTTTCACTAGAGTTTTGTATGTACATTTATCAACACAAATATTTTCACTAAGTCACCATGACCACACCATCACCACACACATGCAACCATAACTACACACACCAAATTCATGGTGTGTGGTGAAACCATCAAATTGCCATCACAAACATAACACATCATCTCGACCATACACACACCAACACATACCATCACCATTACCACAGCTACCACACAAATTACCACCACGATTACCATAAAAACTACCAACTCGCACACCACAGCCCCGCATACCACCACCATATATACCACCAATAACACCACCAACGTACAACATATTAAAATAAGACATTAATGATGTACAACATATGCCAATATACGTAAACTAACAGGGGCGCCAGTGGAAATAGTCACGCTGACTTTATTGGGCTGTGTTAGGTTTAATACACATAGTGTATATTTTATGTGCCCATAAAATGTACATTGTGTATCTTTATGTATTATATGTGTGCTCTCAAGAACATTGTAAAAAATATTATGTTGTGCACCCATAGCCCAAGTTACTACTTACTTCACCACAACACCAGTGCCACAGCACCACCACCACCACCGCAGCACCACCGTCAGAGCACCACCACCACAGCACCACCGTCACAGCACCACCACTACAGCACCACCGCCACACACTAGTAAAGCTAGACTAGGTAAACAGGGATGAGGACTTGTCTTATATCTCTTAAGGTCATTTAGTTGGCCATTGGTTGGGCAGGAATTAAGTAGATAGATTAAGTGGATAGAGTTGTGGATAGTTGGTGTGGACAGATGAGGCGAATAGCATGATGGGGTAGTCTGAAGAGGCCTGTGTGTGTGTGTGTGTGTGTGTGTGTGTGTGTGTGTGTGTGTGTGTGTGTGTGTGTGTGTGCGATGTGTGTGTGTGTGCGAATGTGTGTGTGTGTGTGTGTGTGTGTGTGTGTGTGTGTGTGTGTGTGTGTGTGTATGTATGTGTGTGTGTGTTTGCGTGTGTGAGTGCACGTGCACTCTCAACGAGTTGTACTCACCAAGATGTGTTTGCAAAGCATCTAGACTCAGCTCCTGGCCCCGCCTCCTGGTCTACTAGGCTTGGCATCACTGATTTCTGGCCTCTCGGGCATTATTTTATATTCTCTCGAGACTGTGTATTGTGTTTGCCCCCCCCCTTCACTGCCTCATCCATTTTCAAACACCTTCAACGAAAGAAATTCTTCCTTACTACCTTATGTATCTTCTGTTTCTTCACCTGTGTCCTAATTCAAACAGTTTGTCCCTATCTATTTCTTTTAAGATTCTGTCGTAATCATGTCACTACTAATCGCAGATCTAGAGAGTGTACAGAGATCCTTTACTGCACGTATAAGTTCTGTCAAGCACCTTAACTTACTGGGAACGCTTGGAAGCACTTGACTTGTACTCGTTGGAACGCAGGAGGGAGAGATATATCATAATCTACACTTGGGAAATCTTGAAAGGAATGGTCCCAAATCTGCACACAGAAATCACTCCCTACGAAAGTAAAAGACTGGGCAGGCGATGCAAAATGTCCCCAATAAAAAGTAGGGGCGCCATTGGTACACTAAGGGAAAACACCATAAGTGTCCGGGGCCCAAAACTGTTCAACAGCCTCCCATCAAGCATTAGGGGAATTGCCAATAAACCCATGGCTGCCTTCAAGAGAGAGCTGGACAGATACCTAAAGTCAGTGCCGGATCAGCCGGGCTGTGGCTCGTACGTTGGACTGCGTGCGGCCAGCAGTAACAGCCTAGTTGATCAGGCCCTGATCCATCGGGAGGCCTGGTCATGGACCGGGCCGCGGGGGCGTTGATCCCCGGAATAACCTCCAGGTAACCTCCAGGTAACTGGGGAAAATTAAGGCACACAACAGGGGGAGAAATTTTTTCCTGGGCAGAGGCATGGTTGACATATAGACAGCAGAGAGTTTGCATAAATGGGGAGAAATCAGAATGGGGGCACGTCACAAGCGGTGTTCCACAGGGGTCAGTGTTGGGCCCGTTGTTGTTCACAATTTACATAGACGACATAGATGAGGGAATAAATAGCGACATAAGCAAATTTGCTGATGACACCAGAATAGGCCGTCTAGTTCATTCTGATGAGGACATTAGAGCACTCCAGGATGATTTGAATAGACTGATGCAGTGGTCGGAGAAGTGGCAGATGCAGTTTAATATAGACAAATGCAAAGTTCTAAACGTTGGACAGGAAAATAACCATGCCACATATAAACTAAATAATGTAGATCTTAATATTACGGATTGCGAAAAGGATTTAGGAGTTCTGGTTAGCAATAATCTGAAACCAAGACATTACAGTACATAAGTGTTCGCAATAAAGCTAATAGAATCCTTGGCTTCATATCAAGAAGTGTAAATAATAGAAGTCATCAGGTTGTTCTTCAACTCTATATATCTTTGGTTAGGCCTCATTTAGATTATGCTGCACAGTTTTGGTCACCGTATTACAGAATGGATATAAATACACTGGAAAACGTACAAAGGATGACAAAGTTGAGCCCATATATCAGAAATCTTCGCTGTGAGGATGGACTGAGGTCCCTGAATCTGCACTCTCTAGAAAGGCGTAGAATTAGTAATATGATTGAGGTGTATAAATGGAAAACAGGAATTAATGAAGGGGATGTAAATAACATGCTAAAATTATCTGGCATAGACAGGACTCGCAGCAATGGTTTTAAGTTGGAAGAATTCAGATTCAGGAAGGATATAGGAAAGCGCTGGTTTAGCAATAGAGTTGTGGATGAGTGGAACAAACTCCCGAGTACCGTCATAGAAGCTAAGACGTTGTGTGGTTTTAAAAATAGGTTGGATAAATACATGAGTGGGTGTGGGTGTGTGTGAGTTGGACCTGACTGACTTTTGCTACTAGGTCTGATGCTGTGCTCCTCCGTTAAGTGAATGTGACTGACCTGACTAGGTTAAGGCATTGGCTTAAGCTGGTGGGAGAATTGGACCTGCCTCGCATGGGCCAGTAGGCCTGCTGCAGTGTTCCTTCTTCCTTATGTTCGTCCTTCTTTCCGTCAAGAGCATCAGATTCATTTTTTTCATCCTCTATGATATGTGCATTCAATTCAATTTTGGTACTAGCCTGGTTGGAAACCTTTGGACCTTTTCGAACTTGACCAGATGTGGGCACTATGATACATGGGCCTCACATTCAGTGGGTGGCCTAATGCTCTGCAGGATATACTGTGTTCATGTTTCTGAATGCTGTTCTGGGGTATACCTGGAGGGTGTTCCTGGAGTCGACGCCCCCGCGGCTTGATCCATGACCAGGCCTCGCAGTGGATCAGGACCTGATCAACCAGGCTGTTACTGCTAACCGCACGCAAACCGATGTACGAACCACAGCCCGGGTGGTGGTTCGTACGTCTAGGTGCTTGTCCAGCTCCCTCTTGAAGACAGCCAGGAGTCTATTGGTAATCCCCCTTATGTAAATTGGGAGGCAGTTAAACAGTCTTGGGTCCCTGATACTTACAATGTGTTCTCTTAGTGTACTCATGATACCCCCTTCTTTTCATTGGGGGATGTTGCACCGCCTGCCGAGTCTTTTGCTTTTGTAGGGAGTGATTTCCCTGTGAAGATTTGGAACTAGTCCCTGCATTCCAAGGAGTACAGGTCAAGGAACTTCAACCGTTCCCAGTAATTGAGATGCTTTATTGGGTTGCTAATCTTGTATATACCACAGACTTTATGAGGTTTATGTATAATACTGGTGATATGCTTCCGTCATTAATATATGCAGTTACTCTCTGCAGATACTGTACTCTTGTGTTCGATCTGCTCTCACCGTCTCCAAATCTCATGATCTTGCATTTTTACTTTATTTGAATTCTTAGAAGTCACTTGCTTGACCACAGCTGCACCCTGTAAAATCGTCTCTCCGGGTATTATACTTCAAATTGGTTTTACATCAGCAAACAAGAGAAATATAAGACTTACGCCCATCTGTTAAGTTGCTGACATATATTAGGAACGGTAGTGTGTATGTGTAACGGTAGTGGTCATAACACTGATCTTTGTGGAACCCTCACTCGTTACTCTCCCATTCATATGTTTCATCCCTTACTGTTATTCTCTGCCTTCTGTCTTTCAGATACTCCCTAACCCTCTGCGCCACTCTACCGTTCATCCCTGCCTGCTATTTTAATTTCTGGATTAATCTCGGGATACTGTATCGAATGTTTTCTTGCGGTCCAAGACGATGCAATCCACCCCAACCCTATTTTTCCTGTTTATTTCTAACTCAGTCAAAGAATTCCATTAAGTTTGTATGGTAAGCTTTTTTATCCTTGAATCCGTCCTGATTTTCTCTTAAGTATTTTCTTCTCTCTAAATGCTCCAATATATACCATTTTTCTCACAATCTTTTTTCAGAACTTCTGACATGTGAGTTCAGTGACTCTTGTCTGTCCTTTTTTATATATGGGGACACAATGGTCTTTTTCCAAGTTTCTAGCAGCTACTCTGATTGAAGAGATTGGTTGAAGGTCTTTGATATTGGGATATATATAGGGTCTCTGCTCCTTCTCTCAGCACCCGTGGATACATGTCTGGTCCGGTTATTCTTGCTATGTCAAAGTAAGTAAGTAAGTAGTTTATTCAGGTATACACAAATACAGTTACATAGAATTATCATACATAGCAGCATATGTGTAGAGAACCTGGGATAACCCAAAAAAGTCAGACAGAGTGACTTATTTCCATTGGGGTCCTTTTACCTTATTATAATATAAAGGTTATAATATTTTCTTATTATTCTATAATGAAGATAACATCTTATTATCATACTAAAAAGACTATCTACTACACGAAGGTCACTAAGACTATCTACAATACGAGGGTCATTACTAGGAATAAGGTAAAATTTACACGTATGTTAGATAAAAAATAGAAAATCATTCCCCTCCCTTTCTGTAGCTACATTCATCAGACACCTTTCGGCACTCTTCTTGAACTGGTTCATGCTATGACTGGCTTTGACATGTGCGGGTAGTCTGTTCCATTCCTTTATTGCTGTACAATAAAAGGTGTTTGAAGCCTAGGCCAATGACTGTGGGTACTACAAAGTTGTGCTCTCTCCCCCTAGTACTATGATTGCTTTGGTTCCCAACCTTGACAAAATTGACAGCAAGATATTCTGGACACTGTTTGTGAGCAATTTTATAAACATGATTTAGCTTCAGTTGTTTTACTCTGTCTTCAACATTCAGCATATCCAACTGCTGTAATTCATCCTGGCCTACATGTTCTCTTGGTCCCAGCCCCAGGATGAATTTACGATTTTGTTCTGGGTGATTTGCAGTCTATCTTTCAGTTTTTTTGTCAAGGCAGAGTACCAAGAAGAGCAAGCGTAATCCATATGGCATTGTATAAGGGCTAGACATAGGGTCCTGCGAGCCTCAGTAGGTAGACACTGTGCTTGTCTATACAGGAACTTCAGTCTGGCATTCACTTTCTTTACTACACTGTTCCCTATCAATTCTCCTGACATGCATGGGTCAAAGGGGATTCCCAAATATTTTACTGATGAAACCAAAGTGATGGGCTCCCCATTACATTGAACATTAAAGTTATTTACCCTTCTCAGTTTATGTTTCGTGCCAAAGAGAATGGCTTCAGTTTTCCCTAGGTGTAATGATAGTTTGTTGTCTACTAACCATTTACTGCAGGACTCTAGTTCCAGTGTTAAAACATTAGCAATATCTTGTGGGTCTTTACCTGACACTAACAGAGCACTGTCATCTGCATACAGTAGGAGTTTGCACTTGACACTGATAGGCATATCATTGACATAACATAAGAATAATAAGGGACCCAGAATACTACCTTGGGGAACTCCACATGTTATCGGCAGGGGTTCTGATTCTGTTTTGTTGATTTTGACTATTTGTCTCCTGTTGCTAAGGTAGGACTTAAACCAGTCTACAGAACCTATACCGATAGCTTGAAGTTTATTACATAATATATTGTGGTTGACAGTATCGAAGGCCTTTTGCAGGTCTAAGGTTACCATACCTATGAGGTTCCCCTTTGACATTTCAGTTCTCAGGTAATCCATCAGATTAATAAGGGAGGTGTCGGTTGAGTAGGATCTTCTAAAGCCCGATTGATAGCTATGGAGAATGTTGTTGTCATTAAGGTACTTAACTACTTGAGAATACACCGCCCTCTCTAGAATTTTAGATATTATACTGAGTATACTAACAGGCCTATAGTTGCTTACATCAGACCTACTATTTTTCTTGAAGATAGGAGTAACTCTGGCCTCCTTGAACCCCTCCGGTACGTATTAGTGGTGATTGATAGATTTATTATGTGAGCAATAGGGATTGACAGTTCAGAAGCACCATCTTTTAGGAACTTAGACGGGATGTTATCAGGGCCTGTGCTCTTAGTTGGGTTTAACCTGCTTAGTTCTTTTTGAATAAAGTCATGAGATACACTTACTAGTTGACAACTGTTTGGGGTTACCCTTTATTGGTATAGTATGTTTGAAACTTATCAGAGTCTGTGTTAAAGGTATTTGATGCAGCTGGTAGTTTACTTACTAGTGTTGATGCAACAGATGTGTAGTATGAATTAAAGCAATTTGCCACCTTAGATGTTTCATGGCATACCTCATTATCGATAGTGAGTACTATGTTAGACCTATCTACTGGCTTATGGCTATACCCCAAATGTTTTAGTTGTTGCCAGAGCTTTCTGGGGTTATGCTTATACTCTTCAATTTTTGAGCAGTAGTGCTTTGCCTTTGCTCCTTTTATAAGTCTCTGTACTCTGTTCCTCACCCTTTGGAATTCATTTAGTGCTGCAATATCCTGTCTGTTTGCTTTAAATCTTTTTAGCAGCTGGTCTCTGAATTTCATATTATCTAATATCTCAGTATTCATCCAGGGTTCAGTTCTTCGTTTAATCCTAACCTCTTTAACTGGTGCAATATTATCAAGGATGGTAGTGAATATTGTTTTGAATTTTTCCCAGGCATCGTTTACGTCCGTGCAACTTGTTATCTCTGTCCAGTCACAATTGTGTAGCCTATTTACAAGTGTTTCTTTACTGTAGTTTCTAGTTGACCTCATTTTTATTGTCCTGTGTAGGCCTATCCTATCCCTAGTGATTTTCCTGGTGCAGTAAATGATGAAATGATCACTAAGACCTGTGGTAATGACGCCTGGCTGACTAATGTTCTCAGAGCGGTTACAAAGTATGTGGTCAATTTTTTTTTTTTAATTTCTCTGCATTTTTATTTAAATTGAATACTTCCAATAAATAACAAGTTTCTACTCATTTTTGCCGAGAAAACCTTAATACAGAGAGGCTCTCCTGACCAGTTCTACGGGCTATAACACAGGTACATGTAAATCCAAGTTTGGCCATTATCTGCTCAATATCGGCAGGATTATTCTCCTTTAATACCAGCAAGTAAAATATCCCATGAGGTGATAAGAGACTATCTACACTTGGAAATAGTCTATCCATTACCTCACGTCCACACTCGCCACCTGCCCAAGTGTATTCCAAGTCCCCTCGTCCAACTTCTTCTGATGGAGTGACAACGTAGGGTGGATTGAAAAGCAATACATCAACAGCCCCTTTTACATCACCCATCACATCAGTCACTAAATCTGTACAAACAGCTTTAATATCCACACCATTTAGCTTTCCAGTCTCTTTGGTCACACGGCAGGCATGGAGGTTGATATCTGTACTTATATAGTGACACTGGGACCCTAGAACAGTACCCAAAGCTGTTATCACGACACCTGAACCTGAACCAACTTCCAAACATAACAATGGTTTGCTTTTGCGAATAAGATCTAAATCCTTTTCTAAAGCATCAATAAGTAGGAAACTATCTTCTGATGGCTCGTATATATGGTCCAGATCTTCAGAGGTAATATGGGAGAAAATTGGAGTCTTAATTGTATTAATTAATTCCTCTTCCATTCTGTATGCAGCCTTTTTATTTGTCTTAATAAGTAAAACCAAAGATAATGTATAAAATAATATAAAGTGGTATACAAAACAACTATCAACAATGCCTCAACAAAAGTATACAATCAGACTATAAAAAAAATATCAACTATCATGAGACTGACAAATGACTAGAGGCACAGTACTGTCTTTGAATCAGACTTGTTTACTGTACATTGTCTTTATACAGAAAATAAACATGAAAAATTAACCAAGGACAAAAACCGTACTGGAATGCCAAATCTCAAGAATACTGGCTCTCTGTTTCCTACTCGAGGAAACCTTCAGCTAGTGTATATCTGAGCATAAAATCCTATTGAAATCTGAAAACCTACAATAAATAACTACTGTATAAAACAGATAATACACAATCTAAGCCATATTTTAATTTAAATATACCTAAATTATTTTCTCACATTAAATTATTAACTAGTTAATAAAGACATCACATCTGACTCCTGATATATAATATTCAGAGGTAAAATGCCTATGGAAATATCTTCAGAGCCACTGAAAAATCAGTTAAGGAGCATGGAGAGAAGTTGAGGGTGTGATTGACAAGGGGGATGTAGTTTCTAGCAGAGCTCTACGACGTGCATTTTCCTTATTAACCTGAGTGTGTAATTTGTTGAGACGGTCTTGTTTGTTTTGGAGAATATTGTTAACTACAACTACTCTTCTCTTAGCATTTTGCAACTTTTTAATATATGCATCAAGCTGTAAAGGACACCGGGTCTGTTCCTGCACCCGGGCCAATTCTGCTGCCAGTCCCTCTAGCTGTTGGTGCAGCTCACTCTGACTCACTCTGGTGGCACGGACCCTGTCATCCAGCTGGTCAAGACAGGGCTTGAGGAGACCCACGATGCCGTCCACAAGGGCTTCCCTGGTGGGGGACACCAGGTCTTCAGTACGGTCACCCACAGAGGTGCAGCTGCTATCTGTGTCAGCCATCTTTGTTTTACGAATATGTGGTCAATTAGGGTGGCTGAGAACTGTGTGATCCGGGTTGGAGTATTAATTAGTTGAGTGTAACTATTTAATCCTAGAATTTACTTATACCTTTTGCATAGCCCGTTATTTTGCTGCTGAAAACAGATATTGAAGTCGCCCAGTATTATTGTCTCGCAATTGTTTTCAACTCCGGACAAGACTGGAAAAGTCTTCTAAGAACTGGTCCTGGGTAGGAGGGCGGTAACTAGTTCCTACTAAGATGGGTTTGGTCTTAGGAAGCAGCACTTCAAATCATAGAATCTCCAGTTTATTGTTATTTAAATCAGGTCTTGGGTTGTAAGCTAAGTCATTTCTAATGTAGGCACATACTCCACCACCCTTTCTGTTCCTATCTAAGCGTTTTATATTGTAACCATCTATTTTGACCTCGTCGTCAGTCACCGTATCATCCAACCAAGATTCAGAGATGGTTATAACTGCCGCCCTAATTTTGTTAGCTAGAATCCTAATCTCTGCCAATTTAGGAAGAAGTGATCTTGCATTGACATGAATAAAGTGAAGGCCTGTTTTCATAAAACAATCATAATCATCAATATATGGCAATGGGTCATTTGTATTAAATTTAGGTAAATCAATGTCATCACTGCTAAAGGGTAACTGTGCCAAAGTGCATTTGTTACACACAAAATGAATTCTGGCACCGTTGCTATAATTGTACATACATCCATCATGCACCCACCCCTTACACATTTACATAAGGTGCCTTTTCTGTTTTTCATGCGTACTTTAGTACAGTGTATGCATCTGTTTGGTAGTGTTTGAGATAATAATGGCTGTATTGTCTCACATTGACCTATGTATGCATTACATATGGAGTTAAGGTTATCATTCCTAGCTACTAGACCGTCATTATCGCCGTCATTTATCTGTCTGTTTGCCTCTGCACAATAGTTTGAGGTCCTGGATTAATTTGGATATCACCACTTAAGAGCGCTACAATAAGAGCTGTGTGCCACTGTTTTTGTTTGGGTATGCGGTGTTGCCATACCTTGCGGCGATAGTGACATTTACTTTTCTGGTAGGATGGCAACTGTTGGGCTTTTACTGTCCAGGGCGCTGTTACCCCATTCACCTTTTCCAGCCCCCATGACTGATTTCTTTCTTCATGGAATTGAAGAAGAAATATAAATATAATTATGGCAGCCTGTACCCCCCTAATGCCTGCCATTTTCACTCTTCGCTCTTTTACTCATATACAATAATATTTATTTCTCTTTTCCAGTCCCTAGTACACTTAGTATCTGCTTTAGCAATCACCACTGAATTACTAGTAAAATTTCCTCTTCAAAACCCTCTTCACTGCTCACTTTTCCCTTAACTTCACAAAACCCTTACAGTTAACCCCTTATTACACACTCCCATTCCCATCTCACTTCACAGTCTGGCTTCCTCAATTAACTTCTAACTCCTTTCCATTCTGGTAGATCAGAAAGGTTTAATCCATGGTTTTATCCTTCCAAATCCCCCTCAATTCCATTTGTCGGGGGTTGTGCAACAGTCACTTAACACTCATTTTTGTGTGCTGCTGCTTTCTAGAACCTGTTGAACTGTGCTGGCCACAGTGCCTTCCATTAGCTCCTCACTTTCCTCTGTGAAGACCTCTTTAAATGTCTTGCTGAGCTGAAGGGGACAAGAGGAGCATGAAATAGGGGAGACACCAGGGGCATCAATTGCAGGGGAAGAGGTACGAACTAGATTACTACGAAGGATGTTAGTCTGGCTAAAAGTAAGTTTGATATCTAGGGAACGGAGTGCTGTTGAGATTAGAAAGAATGGAACTATAGGGAAGGCAGAGAACAGTAGATTTCACAGGAGTAGAGAGTTTAGGAGAGAAGAAAGTTCATTTAGCACGTGAGAAGGCAGAGTTTGTGAAATCAATGTCTACTGTTATGCTCCTCTTGTCGCCTTCAATATTTTGGAGAAACTGGATGCTCTCTTGCTGAGCTCTCTACATACCTGTCCCCTCAAGGAAGGTTCCTTGATGTTGGTGAGAGGCTCTTGATTTAGGGAATTGGATCTGTGCTCCAGTTCCCCGAATTAAGCCTGAATGCCTTCCACATCCCCCCCCAGGCGCTGTATAATCCTCCGGGTTTAGCGCTTCCCCCTTGATTATAATAATAATCGACATACCTGTCAGCTTCCCTCCATCCTTCAGCCTCATCACCTGATCCTTTACAATTATCTCCTTATTTACTAGTGGAACTATACTTTGATTCTGTTTTTGCCTTTGATGCTTTATTATTCTCAAAGTGTCTTTCAACCTCTCTAATAACTAGTCAATTTTTTATCCAGGTCAGGAACCAAATCTGAAGACTCTTCAACAACTCCAAGGCTGAGGGACTGATTACCTCACCTGGATGGCGAAACGTCTGCAGTAAAGATACCCAGATGTTGCACATGTGTCTAACTCTTCATTATGGCTTGTTTGACATGTGCAACAGTCGGATATATCGTCGAAAGCTATCGCCTGCTCAGTAATGCAAGAAGTGACTTAAGTCAGTTCTGCATTCAACTGAAGAAGCCCGCTAAGCAGGCGAAACGTTTCGTTAACATAGCTGATTGTTGCACATGTGTTTTCCGCATCTACTTGTCAGCATCGTATACAATTAATATAATGTTACATTGAGAATATACGAGTATACTCTTAGTGAATGTATAGAGATATACACCTCCCATTCCGCAGGCATTGTATGACCCTTACAGTTTTAGAGCTTCCCCATGAGTAATAATAGTAATCCTCGGTCTGATATATTTTCTAATCATCATTTCATTACATTTTTTGTTAGTATACTCTACCTGGAGGGCATTCCGGGGGTCTACGCCCCCGCGGCCCGGTCCACGACCAGGTCTCCCGGTGGATCAGGGCCTGATCAACGAGGCTGTTACTGCTGGCCGCACGCAATCCAACGTACGAACCACAGCCCGGCTGATCCGGCACCGAGGTATCTGTCCAGCTCAACACCAGTTTTTTAACTTTTTTTTTTCAATGTTTTTTTTTTATTTTAAATTAATTTAAGATGGGTTGTATAACTCTTTTAAAACTTACATTTAAGCACAAATTAACAGATTATAAAAGTTGGCCACAATACGTCTGGCAAGCAACGAGGTGGTGAAAATAATACAGGCAGTGTTGTATTCTGGGTGTCTTTATGCACCTCTTGTGTCAGAGTGGGCTAGGCTGTGTCTTTGTAAATGATCCAGGTCGGACCGAAACGTCGTCGTAAGCTCCTCTCTCCTATGTGCGGGTTATTTGCGTATAAGATTAATTTTTTAAAGGGGCGGACCGGTAAACCAGTGGAAGGGCTCGGTCAGATGACTGAAAGTTCCAGTCAGGGAGCACTTGCCCTATTTCCTGACAAACTTTATCTAGCCTGAGTTCAACAATCTTTGTTTTGATTTCAGTGGTGTTTTCAAATTGTTTTTTGCTTTTGCTTTTAATCTTCCCTCGGCGCTCATGTTATCATTCTTTGTTTTCGTAATTTTACCACGTTTTATTTTTGAATGTCGCATGTGTGAGTGAGAATGAATGCGCGAGTTACTTCCCAGGAGCTGTGGGCAGTTTACATCAGGGCAAGTGGGACATGCCGCTGATCACACTCGCACAGTATCCCTGATAAGAATTCTCCCATGCCTTCATAGTGCCCTGATGTGTGAGTGGTACAGAGGTGATGTGGGCCTAGGCTTCATACAATGTGTCACCCATATACACCACCCCTCCTACTCTCTCTCATACCCACACCCACATTCTCCGCCCTCATCCTCTCCTTGCTCGTCCATTACATCACTCTACTCTCTCCCCTCTCCTTACCCCTCACATTCCCTCTCTCTACCCCTCATATGCCCTTTTCCCCTCACTGAAAGTCACATTCGCCGTGTTTATCAACGAGTGGTGACGTGGGTAAGTCGGGGGGGGGGGGTTAGGTCAGGATAGCGCATCACGTCACGCAACTATCACCGTTGTACAAGACCATCACAATAATACACTTGCCTCATTGACTTAAGTTCAGGAAACGCTTAAAATCACACATTATCTCAGTGCTAAGATAATCCAAAGTCCTTTCTGCTCTGGAAAATAGTCAGTTTGGCTTTTTTGGGTTATCCTACGTAATTTATATTATGTATGATAATTGTACTTGTGTACCTGTGTCTAAATAAACTCTTTAAGAGTTTAGCTCTTCCACATGAATACAATAATTAAGTTTAAAATATAGTGTAGGGTTGGTGCGGGCGGTCGCGTGGCGGAGGAGGTGGGCGTGGCCAGGGATGCGGGCGGTCACGTGACCCCCGCCAATCATGATTGGGAACACATTTTCGCGTGAAATTCTAAAGTGATTATTGGCAACGTGATACTGGTGGCGGGAAACTTCAGTCACGTGACCTCTTCTACCACCTGTCACACTTAACTAACCTAATCCTACCTATCCTATAACCACAGGAAAAACCCTTATAATAATAATAATAATAATAATAATAATAATAATAATAATAATAATAATAATAATAATAATAATCTCTGTTTCTACAAGTACATTACAAGGTATACAGGCCTAGCTGACATCAGTGACATACTACTATATAGAAAGCCCCTTCTTATGCAGAGCATTTCGGCAAATTAAGTTAATTTTGTCCCCAAGATGAGATTCACACTGGTTGACTAACACCCAGGTACCTATTTATTGCTAGGTGAACATGGACAGCAAGTGTCTTAAGGAAACATATCCTAATGTGTTCACCCGTACCAGGTATCGAACCACGGACCTTAATGTGTGAGTTGAGTGCGTCACCAATCTAGCTACGGGACACCTTATGGTTAAAGGGACATGTGGAAACACTTAGAACATTTTATTATGGAAAGTCCAAAATGAAATGTTTTATTGGTCAGGAGACATGACAAGTGTCTCCCAACACTGGTCATCACACCAGTGTTGAGAGACAAATTACTCAAAAATATAGCAACAGTAATTATGGAACTTAAAAAAATTGCAAGAGTGAACTTGTTCTAGGAAAATTTAATAATGCAAATAAAAATAACAAAAGATACAAGGTAAGATAATTCACAGACTTAGAGTGCTATAGATGACTAGTTAGTGTACTAGTGTGTGTTTATGTACAGTTTCTTGAACCACAACTTGTCGGTAGTATGTACTAGGCTGGGCGACCCATTTTCTTTATCCTGATCTTGTTAAATATATATACTATAGATCTAAGAGAAAAGTAATGTTAAAATATGTTATGGACATTTGATGTAAAGTACTTGTGAACTTTCTTGTGGGAAGTTCTGGGGACAGTGAGGAAAGTTGCTGAGGAGAGGTGAGGAAGCTATTGGGGAGAAAAATTGATGGGGGAAAAGAAGTGGGTAAGAAAGTTGTAATGGAGAAGAGGTGGAAAAGTAAGTTGTTGGGAGAAGAGGTGGAAAGAAAGCTGTTGGGAAGATGTGGAGAAGAAAGTTGCTGGGGAGAAGAGGTGTTGAAAAAAGTTGTTGGGACAAGGAGGGTTCGTTGTACATTGAAAGGAGAGAGTTGGAGGTGATGGGTAAGGAGAGTAGGAGTAGGAACTTAGGAGGAGGTTAGAAAGGATTGGGGAGGGAGAAAAGTTGTTGGGGGAGGTAGAGAAGAAAATTGCCAGGAGGGAGGGAGGGTCGGTAGTGTTTTGGAGGGAGGAAAGATGGAGATGCTGGGGAGAATGAGGGTAGAATATGCTGGGGAGAATGAGGGTAGAATATGCTGGGGAAGTAGGAAGGGCAGGAACTAGGAAGAGGGAAGGGAGTGCACTCACGTAAGGGAGGAGAGGCAGCAGTAACTTGGGGAGGGAGAAAGAGTTGGAGGTACTGAAGGAAGATTAGAAGGGT